ATATGGATACCAGTCAGATTGGATTAGAGGCCACCCTAATGGCCTCATCTTAACATAAACACCTCTTTAAAAGCCTTATCTCCAAATGAGTCATATTCTAAAGTACTGGGGGTTAGGGCTGTAACATACAAATTTGGAGGGGATACAATTGAGGCCATAACACTCTTCCATTCAGCAAACCAGTTTCTGGCATCCCTTTCACTTTCACATAACATAGAAGGAGACATGACCATCGACATCTAGAGAGGGGTATAAAGTAGGGCGGAAAGTAAACACCATCTGCCCTGCAATCTGGAATCACCCTTGTGTTACATGCTTTTCCACGTGTCATTGTTGACCTGCCAGGTTCCAAAGTCCACCTATTGAGATCAGTGAAATCTACTTGCTCTCTCACATTGGCATATTTTTTAAAAAATAGTTTTGTTTCTTCTGTTTATAAAAGTAATACGTGCTCATTGCAAACAAAACAAAACAAACAAAAAAATCAAACACTGGTGAAGTATACAAAAGAAAATAAGGATCACCTCCAAAAACACACCACCCAGTGATAACTACTATTACCATGCTGGATGTATGTTCATCAAAATGTGTTTTCCATGCAAACACTTGTGTGCTTTTAATATAAAAAATAGAAATCACAATATATCCTATTTTGCAGCTTTAAAAAGATTGTATATATTTAAGGTATACAATGTGATGTTTTGATATACATATACATAGTGAAATGATTACTATGGTCGAGCAAATTAAAATATCTGTCTCCTAACATAGTCATTTTTTTTCTACTTAATATATTATGGACATTTTTCCTTTTCAATAAATAGATATCTCAGGACCTATCAAAATGCAGGCTGGCCAGTCTGCCCTGACCCCAAGGCTTGGTTTTTACTTGGGCTCATTGCAATGTAGTAGAAATTTCAGGACCCAAAGAGGCTAAGACCACTCAATTCTAAGCAGAGTCCAGGTATTAGTCTTTTCCAAAATGGGGGTGCATAGAATGCCAAGTGGAAGCTGAGCCCCAAGTCAAGGAGGCCCTATAGATGATTTGGGAGTAGACCACAAGGGACCTCTACTGTCCTGCAGGTCTGTTCTCACATTCCTGGGAGGATGGCGGGGGGCTGCCTTTCCAAGGTGGGAGCTGCCCTTACCTGTTTTATTGACTTTCCTTCAAGCTGAAATTGTGAACCTTGGTCACGTCCAATCATAATTCCCTTCTCTCATTTAGGACACTGAGGGGCATCCTTCTTTCCCCAGTTCTCAAATAGAAATATAGAAAGCAACTCAGCATAGCCTCCAACAAAGAGGAACTACCAAGAAGAATTTGTAAACATTACATTCTTCTTTATTGCTTCAAGTATGTGGTCCATCTTCTGGAAATTGGGCTCAGAGGGGAGAAAAAAAAAAAAAAAAAAAAAATATATATATATATATATATATATATGTATGTATATATATATATATGTATGTATATATATATGTATATATGTATATATGTATATGTATATGTATATGTCTGTCTAGTCTGTTTATTCCATCTCCAAAGGAAGGAAAATATTACAGAGTAAGAGGGTGATCAGCCCAGCAACAGAATATCCTTTTAAACAAGGTCTAGGTATTCCACTGCCTAGTAGAAATTATATCGTAACTTACCTCCCATGGATAGATATTTTAGGTTATTTCAAAATTTCCTACACAACACTTCAATGAACATCTTCCAGATAATTTTGCACTCTTGCCTTAATATATTTCATTAGAATATATTCCCAGAAACAGATTTTATGGGTTGAAGGGCATGTACATTTAAAGTTATAATAACAGTTTCTAATGTGCTCTTCAGAAATGTTGTACCAATTTGTATCACTTCAATTGTCTTGGGTATATACCTAGAGCAAAATTGATGGGTCATTTGGTAAACCTATGTTTAACTTTTAGAGTGATGATTAGTTTTCCAGGTCAGCTGCACCATTTTATATCCCATCAGCAATGTATTTCTGGTTTCTTCACATGTATTATTATCTGTCTTTTTGATTCTAACTATTCTAGTAGGTGTGATGTAGTATCTCGTGATTTTGTTTTGCATTTCTCTAATGGCTAATGATGTAGATTATCTTTTCATGTTCTTGTTGGCAATTTGCATATTTTCTTTAAAGAAATTTCTATTCACATTCTTTGCCCATTTTAAAAATGGGTTGTCTTGGGGCCGCCCTGTGGCTCACTCGGTAGAGTGCGGTGCTGATAACACCAAGGCCACGGGTTCGGATCCCATATAGGGAAGGCCGGTTTGCTCACTGGCTGAGCGTGGTGCTGACAACACCAAGTCGAGGGTTAAGATCCCCTTACCGGTCATCTTTTTTAAAAAAAAAATGGGTTGTCTTTTTATTGATGAGTTATAAAACTTCCTTATATATTTTGCATACTAGTTCCTTATTGAATATATAACTTGAAAATATTCTCTTGCATTCTGTGAGTTGTCTTTTCACTTTCTTGATAGTGTTCTCTGAAGCACAAAAGTTTTTCAATTTTGATGAAATCCAATTATTTTTTTCTTTAGTTGCTGTGCTCTAGGTGTTATATCTAAGAAACCATTGCCTAATTCAAAGTAATGAAGATTTACCCCTGTGTGTTGTTCTAATAGTCTTATAGTTTAACCATTTCATTTAGGTCTTTGGTCGATTTTGAGTTAATTTTTTATGTGGTATGAGGTAAGGATCCAACTTCTAGCTGTCTCAACACTATTTGTTGAAAAACTAATCTTTCCCCCTCCAAACAGTTCTTATTAGCACCCTTGTCAAAAAGTAGTTGATCATAAATTGCCTTATTTCTAAATTATTAATTCTATTCTATTGATCTATTTTATATCCTCATGCCAGTACCACCAGTCTTAATTACTATACTTTCATAGTAATTTTTGAAATTAGAAAGGGTTAGTTCTCCAAATTTGTTGTGTTGGTGGGAGGATTGTTTTATCTATTCTGGGTCCCTTTTGTTTCCATATGAATTTTTCTACTATTAGTTTTAAAAGTCTTTTTCTATAGTAAGAATAATTACCCTTTATCTATACCCATTGTAGTGGATTGAATTATGTTCCCACAAAACTCACTGAAGCTTGAATTATGTTCCCCAAGTTTTATGTATTAGAAACTTAGCCCCCACTGTGTCTGTTAAGAGGGTGGGAAATCCTGTTATGGTAGTTGAAAAGTGGAGCCTTGAAAAGGTGATTGGATTGTAGGACCATGCAGTAGTAAATGGATTAAAAATGGTGATCAGGGATGTGGTTCTGAGGGCTTTAAAAGGGGAGAGTCTGTCTTTGTCTCTTTCTGCTCTCTCTGCTTCCAACATCTTGCAATGTGAGACCCCGTGGGTCACTGTTGCCACCAGCAGATGGACTTTGGACTTCTCAGCCTCATAAACTGTAAGCAATAAATTTTATTTTCTTTATAAATCACCCAGTTTCAGGTATTTTTTTTATAAGTAACAAAACGGACTAATACATTATATTCCCTTATATACTATTTTTTTTTTCTGTTCAGTAGTTTTAATTCCTATTTAGTTTAATCTACTAATCTTTCCTTCACAGTGTCTGGATTTGGCTATAGCTAACTTTATGGAATCACAATCTTTGCTCTGCCTAAACCTATGTTTAACTTATATTTAAGGATTAAAATCATTTAATCCTCCCAGCCCTGATCACTATGAAACTCAAACTCTATTGAACCTGAGTCATGATATTTTTTAACCTCTTCTTATGTAAATAATATGAAATATTAAAAATGGTCAAGAATTCTTTGCCACTTATTCCATCAAGAGATGGTGTCTATGTCCTTTCCCCTTCAATTTAGGTGGGCCCTGTGACTACTTTCATCAGTAGACTATGGCAAATGTTCACTGTGTGTCTGTTTCTAGAGGTAGGCATTGTTTCATGGAGTTAGGTTGGAAACATTCATTTCCTGGTTCTGGGAACATTCTCTGGGAGCCCTAAGCTGCCATTTAAAAAGTCTGACTGCCCTGAGTCCACCTTGCTAGAGAGGCTCTTTGTAGGCCCTACAACTGAGGGTCCCATCTAAGCCCAGCCTTCTAGTCATCCCCTCCAAGACACCAGACAAGTGAGGGAAGCCATCCTGAACATTTCAGACCATTCACTGGCTAAATACCACCAAGTGACCCCAGTTGATGCTCATGAGGCAGAAGAATCACCCAGAGAAGCCCGCCTGAATTCATGACCCACAAAATCAGGAGATATAGTTAAATGGTTTTTGTTTTAATTGGCAGTAATTAGTTACACAACAATAGATAAACAGAAATTAGCCTGGGTTAATAGCCACCATGTACTGATAAGACAGATAGAGAAAAAAGAAGCATATAATCCTTTAAAAAATCATTTTCCTTTTTAAAAATAGGTTGAAAATCAAATGAGGAAGCTCTGTAAAGCTCTGTCCTCCTTGCAGGTTTTGGATGAGAGATTGACTGTGTGGGGGGTAGAATGGTACAGAAAAGGTGAGATTTTGAGAAAGTCTAACAGGTATGACAGTTTACTCCTTTACTTTGGTTAATCTCCCTGAATATTCCTCTGCATATACTCATATAATGGAGGAAGAAGAGCTTTCTTGCTTCCTACATTTCTAGGATGGAGGGGGTACTAGAAAGAGAAACTAGAGAAAAATTGTAAAATGTCCCTGGTTTTCTTTCCACGCAGAACCTACTTTGATGCTGTGGATTTGGGGGAGAAGGTTAGGATTAGGACCTCTAAATTTTGAGAAAATGGCTGCTCTTGTGGGACTGATATATCCTCAGAAGTTCCAAAGATCAATTGTCTTCATTGTGTGTGATATTGAAGAGGAATTTGTTATTTATGGGGTGTTGCCTGGCGATTATATTTTTGAGCTCCCAAAATTTAAAGAGTGGACATTGTGGATAAATTTTCTTGCAATTTATAGATGATCTATATATACCCACATACTAAAAAAAAAAAAAAGTGTACATGTTGATTAATTTGTAGTAGCTAATATTTATTGAGTGCTTACTATATGCCAGGTCCTGTGCCATGTTGGATTAGTTAGGATGTAATAGGTTATGCCATGATGTGATAAAAACAAATCCCAGATCCCAGTGCCTTAAATAAAAATTTATTTCTCATTCATGTTTCACAGGTTGGCTGTAACTCTGCTTTGGTGATATATCCATCTTCATCCCAAGACCCAGGCTGACCGAGTTGTCAATATTTGCAACATTGCCAGTTGCCCTGTCAGGTGTGGAATAAGAGGTGAGAATCATGTACACAGAGTTAGCCAAACTACAGAATCTGAGGGCATAGTCTCCAAGACTGCCCTCACTTCTGACACCAGCCACAAGTTTGGGGTTGCCCAAATTACCTGCAGTTTCTATAATTCACTAGAAAGATTCACAGAACTCAATGAACGCTATTATACTCATGGTTCCAGGATAGTACAGGGAAAGAATGCAGATCAAAAACATCTAAAGGAAGAGATGCATAGGGCAGAATCTGGGAAAGTTCCAAACACGAAGCTGTACTGTCCTTAGGACACATCACTCTCCTGGCATCACTGTGTGACAATACACACAGAGTATTGCCAACCAAGGCAGCTCACTTGAACTTCTGTGCCTAGAGTTTTTATTGGGGCTTTATTATAGAGGCACGATTGATTAAATGATTGCCCATAAGGTTGAACTCAGTATCCAGGTTGGCTGACACCACATGACCCAAAGCTCCCACCCCAAATCACATAATTGGTCTTTCAGGTGTGGCTGGCCCCTACCCTAAGACTACTGGGTATGGCCAGTCTCACTCTAAGATCCAGTGTGCCTACCCTAATTAAAGATACTTGTGTCAGGTATGACAAGGAGGCTGAGGACAAAGTCATTTCTTTAGGCAAGGCCAAGTCCTTTCCTACACAGCATACATCAAAACACACACTGGCTTTTAAAGCTTCCATTCAAAAGTAACATATGGTACTTCCTCATATTTCATTGGCAAAGCAAGTCACAAGGCCAAGTCTAACTTCAAAGGGAGTGGAGAGGTACATTCTTTCCATAGCTAAATATAGGTGTTTAGAAATCCAGTCTATCACATAAGTATATTAATTCATTTAATTCTTTCAACAATTTCCTGTTATTATCTCCATTTTTCAGATAAAGAAGCCGAGCCACAGACAGGTTCAGCAACATGCCCAAAGTCACATAGCTCTTAGGGGTACAGCTGAGATGCCTGGCTTTAAGCCTGGGTGCTCTAGCTCCATAACCCATGCTCTTTAAAACCAATAAAGGGGAAAAAATCCTATATCTTCTTCAAGTCTCTTCTCTACATTCTAACAATATTTGGTGAATACTTCTGAGGTGCCAGACACTGGACCGTGACATGCTGGAAATATGGTAGTGAATGAAACATTAAGCACTTGCCCCAGTGGAGCTGAAGTTTTTCCTACTTTCTTCTTGGACAAAGGGATTTGTGGTAGAAAATGAGCTGGAATAACCAGGCCCCACTCCCCAAACATGCAGTTGCCACCAATATCACCCTCCTTATCCCCAGTTAGAATCAAATCTCACCTATCCACTTTTTGAGACTTTGGAGGGGCAAAGAAAGAGGTAAGGGAAAAATGAAGATGAAGATGAATAAAATGAAATAAAAGCTACAAAAAGAACCAATGGGATAACTTGAATGCCACTTCTCCTTATTTAAAAATAGTTAACAAGAGGTACAGTGTAGGCACTGCCCAGTCTGACACCAGCTATAAACTATTGTTCCACTTGTAGCTCTCTGGCTCAGCATCAGCCCTGACCTTACCCCTCACCCTCCAAAGTGAACACCTTTTCCTAGAACTATTGGAGAAAGAATGTGTTTTTTTGGCTGGTCTTGCTGAAAAGACAAAATTCTGGCAGGTATACTGTCTGCACTAGGAATTGACTTGTCTGAGAATGGAGCCACCATAGAGGAAGACAGGAGACATGTAAACCCATCCCTTGGCAACACTTGAGCTCCTGGATCCAGCCGTGCCTGAAGTCATTATGGCCTAGACTTTTCAGTTATGTGAACCAATCTATTTTCTTTATATGGCCAATATGTCTATATATCTATATGTCTGATGTTAAAGTCAAAGAGTCTTGTACACTCACATATTCTTCCACTTTTAAAATTCCAATGCCAGGGCTGGCCAGTTAGCTCAGTTGGTTAGAGTGTGGTACTGATAACACCTAGGTCCAGGGTTTGATCCCTGTACCGACCAGCAGCCAAAAAAAAAAAAGAAGTTTCAGTGCCAAAGAAGCCATCACAGGCCATATACTGGAAGGGGAAAAGATTTGTATTTTGTAAGAAATGAGAATCAACCCAAGGAAGGCATGAAGCTCATGGAAGATACCAATTTCCAAGGCATCAACTCCTGAAATTATCACCCTTTCTATCCACACTCACAGCCTGCAATTTTTAGAAAAGCATGAATAGAAGCAGAAGGAGGAATTGGTCACCAGTGTGTGTGGAGAGACGCCAGCATACTAAGTCTCTTATCTCTCCACTGAAAAGATTTAGTATTAGAAAGCTATGGTGAAGTCTCATATTCCTAAAATTCATTACAGCCATAAAAGGCAGCACCATATTTTCATTAGCTATTAAAATAAACAGTTAAGAATAAAGCCCATTTGGTATCCAATATCCTTCACATGGTCATATTTTTCATGTATTTGTCAAGCAACACAATTTGGGTAATTGCAATACATTTTCCTGTAACTGATTCAGATTTCCACTTCTCTTTTGCATCCTAAAATAATAAACTACAATTTCTCTAGCCATTATAATTTATAAATTACATAGACATGTCACAACATGAAATACATTCTCTTTGTTTATTCTCTTTCCATTTTTCAACTGGTTTTTTATTTTAACAATTCTTGATGAAATCCCTACAGTTGTTGAGTGCCATGGGAGTAAGAGTAGTGTAAAGGGAGGATATTAACATTTATTTGGCACATATTATGTGGCTATCACATCACATATTACTTTATTTCATTTAGTACTGATCCTAATCTTTAAAAGATGAGTTTTTGTCCCCATTTTTCTGATGGGAAAGCCTCAGAGACAGTTATTTGCCCAAGTTTAAACATCTATAAAATAGCTATGGCAGGTACTGTTAGTTGCTTGTCTACAACTGTTTTCCTTCTTCTTTGCTGGCTGAACATACTTCTCATTAAAGAAGTTGAAAATGCTGTATACTCTTTATCCCAGACTTCTTTGCTGCTAGGGCAAAAGCATATTACCCAACCTAGCCAATGGGTCCAGAAGGAAAACCTGCTGGAGAGTTTTGGGAAAGTTTTCTCCTGATTAAAAAATAAAATAAAATAAAACACATACACACACACACACACAAAACCATTTCTCCCCTTCTTGTTTCTGGATGAGGTCTTGCAATGATATAATACTTGGAGCTTAAGCAACCATCTAGAGACCATGAGGGTATGAACCTGAAGATGAAGTTCAATACTCCGAAACACTCTAAAGATGGTAAAAAGGAAAAGTGGTCCTTAATGCATCTTTGATTCTCTAAATTTATTAAACCTGGAACCCCCAAACTCAGGACTTAAGACAGTGTCAGGGGCATAGTAGGTACTTAACATTTATTGAATAAATAAATAAATGGCTTTAACTTTTCAAAACCTGTCTTTATAGAAGGTAAAAGAAAATATCTAACAAAGCTAAATATTTACCTACCCCATGACACAGCAATTTCACTCCTAGGTATATAAACAAGAGAAATAAATGTCCTGTGTTTACCAGAGACGTGCAAATGAGTTCTTAATAGCGCTAAGCTGGAAACAACTCAAATGTCCATCAACAGGAGAATGGATAAATAAATGTTGGGATGGATGAAACTTACAGAAATAATTATTGAGAAAAGAAACCATAAACACCAGAATAAATATGTTCTATTACTTTAAAGTTTAAAACAGAAAAAACTAATCCATAGTGATAGAAGTCAGCAGTTACCTCCTGGAAGGGAAATGGTTATTGACAAGGGGCATACAGGAATCTTCTGGGGTGATGGAAATGTTCTATCTTGATCTGAATTGTGATCACATGGGTTTATACATATGTGAAAAAAATCATCAAGCTATATGCTTAAAATTTGTGCACTTTACTGTATGTAAATCACACCTCAATTTTTTTAAAGGCCAAAAAAAAAAAAGGTTTTGTAAAGGAGGTACACGAAACATCTTTTACTCAGTGTTTATTCAGGGAAAGTATAACCTTAAGTGCCTTACAAAATAATATTTATGCTAACACCATTAAGTAGGCATTATTATCCCCATATCACAAATGCAGAATGAGAAAATCAGAGAGGTTAAGTTACTTTCCGAAATTACACAGCTCATCAGTGCCAAAGTGAGATTTGAATACAAGTTTGTCTGCCCCCCCCAAACCCATGTTTTTTTCTCTGTGTTACTATAAAATGGGTAGGTACCTGCCCAGC